TTTTATTTCTTTCACTAATCTTTCAGTTTCAGCTTGAGATACATCATGCTTTTCACTTCCATTTTCTATATTAAGGCTCTGAACTCTTGTTTCTTGTAAAGTACCAGGATTCTCCGTTTGAATGTCCTGTCTTTCTTCATGCAATTGGGTTTTGATTTGTTCAACTGCTTTTTGCAAATTCTTAATTTCCTCATCTTTCTCTAAAANCAGAGAAAGACTAAGAAAAGTCACCTAGGAAATAAATTCATTTTAATTGAAAACTTTCCAGTTTTCTTACTTAATAGTTATTAAACTTAATATTTGATTCCCTGTTTTTTTAAAGTGAAAGTATACCTCATTCTGTAGGGTATTGTTTTCCATTTGTTTCTCATTCAGGGACAATGTGACTTGGTCTCTCTCCTGTTGAAGTGTGACTGTCTTCTCCTGCATTGACTTAACTGCATTTAAAAGCTGATTTAACTTTTGCCCTTTAGAAAGTCTTGCCCTTTAGAAAGAAATAACTTTAGTTTTAAAGAAAAATACACTTTAAAAAAGACATTTTCTTCATTAAATAATTAATTTTGAAATGTAGTTAACTATGGCAAGGTCATCAAAAATAAGGAAAGTCTGAGTAACTGTCACAGTCTATAGAAGCCTAAGGACACATGACCTCTAAAGATAATGTGGTATCCTGGATGGCATCCTGGAACAGGAAAAGGACAATTGGTAAAAATTAAGGAATTTGAATGAAGTCTAAATGTTAGTAGTAACGCCTCAATATCGGTTCATTAGCTGTGACAAATGGATTATAGTAAAGTAAGATGTCAACAATAAATAAAACCGGGTGTGAGGTATAGAACTCTCTCCACTATCTTTGCAACTTTTCTATAAATCTATTATAAANTCATTTTTTTCATATTTTATGGGTAAAAAGTTTTTCTTATATTCAAGATATGCCATGGTTTACATTTTTGAAACCTAAAATATAAAGCACCCTGGGAGATAAAAGTCCTACTATAGCATATTAGAGAAAGACTAAGAAAAATCACATAAGAAATAAATTCATTTTAATTGAAAACTTTCCCGTTTTCTTACTTGTTATTAAACTTAATATTTGATTCACTGTTTCTCTAAAGTGAAAGTATACCTCATTCTGTAGGGTATTGTTTTCCATTTGTTTCTCATTCAGAGA